TCCTCCCTGGGGATGCAGTGGCTGCCTAGGGAGGAGCGCTGCAGGGAGGGATTGAAGGGTCATAGTGGGCCGCGAGCTAAATGAGTCAACACTGGCAGCGTTACCAAAAAGCCGGTTCCCCCCGCACCAGCTCCATGGTGCCGCCTCCTCCCCCCGCTGCCTCGGTCTGTGAGGAGCTCAGGCCCCCTGCAGACAGGGACCGCAGGTGGCTGGTCCGTGAGGAGAACTGGTCTTTTTAAATTGGCTTCCCTCGCGGAGCGTCTCCCGCCTGGCACCCCGCTGCTGCCTCTCCTAGAGAGTCCGCTGCAGCACGCTGGCTGCTGCCCTCCCCCCCCGGGGGCTGTCGCACAGCCGTGGGACCGCAGAGACTCACAGGTCAGCTGACTGTTCTACCCACCAGCTAACAGCCCAGGGGACTGTTCTGTTGCCCACTAGCTAACCCCTCCAGGCTAAACCAGTGGGTCTCAAACTGTTTTTTTTCATGGACCACTTGAAAATTGCTGAGAGTCTCAGCCGACCACGTAACGATCTTCCCACCGGTTGTTTGTGCCCTTAGCTAACTGCAGTAAAACACTTGGAAGAGAAGCGCTGAATAAAACCCGTAGTAATTAACCCTTTTGGGTTCTACTCGCATTTTAGTATCAGTCAGCACCTCTTCCCCCACTATAGCAGCTGCTGAGCTGGGGCTGGGAAGAAGGGCCGTCTCTCCCTTGGAACTGGGGAGGGTCACCCCTTTCTCTGGTCACCACAGCCCTGCACATCCCAAATTCCCCCTCTTCTCACCCCACTGCCCCCTATTCTCCCCGAGGCCACCGCCTCCCCTTCCAGGGGAGGGCCCAGGCACCAGATCAGTGGCTTGCAGATGTGGCTCATTCTCTCGTGGCCATTGAGGGGTGCACCTTGGAGGGAACGATCCGGATCACCCGACTGGGTCCACACACCACAGTTTGAGGCTCTCTGGCCTAGGCTTTCTGTCCTGCTGTAAGTGCAGCCGACCTCAAGGCCCTTCCAGCCCTACGGTTCCACGAGCTACAGATGCAGGCAGTTTTGTTGCTGTTCTGCTCTTGCAGCTGGCATTCTGAGCTCCCTGTTCAGCCTGGCTGCTGACCCCTTTGAGTTCCCGTGTGCAGCCTGCCAGCCCTGCACACCCACGGAGAAGCATGGCAGCAAGGAGCAGCCACATTAGCCACTAGCTGAAGGGGGCTGGACTGGAGGAAATGGGAGAGACTGGGGATAGGGTCTTGGAAAGTGGAATGTGCAAGTTGGAGTAGGGGAGAGAATATCCAGCAAAATGAAAGGTGGGAGGGGGGAGTCTGAATCGCTGGAGAGGATGAAATAACCCCCCTCCCTCTGGAGAGTCTGCCCTGCATCCCCGGGCACCAAGGGGAGCAAACCCTGCTGGGCTGCCTTGGAGGAAATGGGAGAGACTGGGGATAGGGTCTTGGAAAGTGGAATGTGCAAGTTGGAGTAGGGGAGAGAATATCCAGCAAAATGAAAGGTGGGAGGGGGGAGTCTGAATCGCTGGAGAGGATGAAATAACCCCCCTCCCTCTGGAGAGTCTGCCCTGCATCCCCGGGCACCAAGGGGAGCAAACCCTGCTGGGCTGCCTGGCGTTT